GTGCTATTTTGATCTACTGAGTTTCATGACTTACAATTTGGAAACTTTAAATGCTATAGTTTTGCCTAATGCAGCCACACCCACTGAACAGTAATTACTGATAACCCATGTCACAACTTAGAGATGATTACTCTATATCCCTATGATAAGTCATGAATGTTTTTAACTTAAATAACAGTACTGTGAAAATTGAATTTATTTATGTCCTTTCTTCGTCAGCTTTAACCAAACTGAGCCGTGTGGAAGTTCCAGTTGGGTAGCTTCAGTTTGATTATCTCTCTGACTATCACTCAGTGTACCGAGTCTTGTTTCTTAAGCACAGACACTGGATATGAAGTGTCTTAGCGTGACAAGCCTCGTATGACAGTTGCCTCCCTTTGATATAGCTAAATCCGAGTTTATGGGATCTCCTGGTGTCGAAGAACCCAGGTTGTAATGCAAGCCTGACCAGTAAAGCGGAGAGGCTTCCACATTATCTTGCACAGTACGAATTGTGAAGTATACGGGGTAGGGGTATTTTCAAATTTCGCGTCTTGTTTGGAATTACACAGTAGTGCAGGCTTGGTGCAGGAGGGAACATGATTTGGAAAGGTAGGTTTTATTAAATTGCTTTTCACAGCGTGGTCAAGATTTTTATCAATGATTAAAGTAATGACCAGTGTTATCTTTTCTCGCTGAAAGCTTTAGAGTGTTAAACTGGAATACTAAGTAATCAGCTAAGTAACACATCAAAGATCATTGGTCATGGCAATGTGGTCGTGGCAATGTGATCATGAATGAACTTGTGTACATTTTCTTCAATGTAATATCGCAAGCCTATAAAGATCTCTTTAATCACAAAGTCGTTCATTGATATTGTTTCACGACCCTAACGATCTTGGGTACCTTCATAAAAATCGTGTTTCCACTGTAGTACTCATCTACTATTACGCCCAAGAATTACCGCCTAAAGAGACATGTGTGTAGGATTTAGGGCGTCCATTTTTGCCGGGTAGATACCCTGATCAAGACAACCAATCTGAGCTTATGTGTCGTAGCGGTCGGAAACAAGCCGGTCTGAAGGAACCCACATACACCAGGACTTCAATCTATATGACATTTTTATATCTTACTGTAGTAATAGCTTTTCACAAACCCAGTGGACGGTGTTCTATGGATAAAGAAGGAGATACCTCTCCATAAAACGTGATCCTGTTTTTTTTACATATATTTTGTGGTTGTCCACAACTATGCAAGGCACATGCGGTCGGTGTTTTGTCACAACTTGACTCAGGGGCCATTTTGGGTGTGGTATTCGCCTCAGTTGTTGTATATTCCTCTCACAAACAACCATGCTGTAATTCTGAAGGGTGCCGTCTTGGATTCCACATTCACATTCATTTCAAGGACACTGTAAACTTCCTGACTCACTGATGAACTATAGTCACGAACGTCGTCACCCTTAGGAATACACACTTGAACACACCCAATGTGAATCAATGACAACAGTATCTTATTGCAACAAAGTTTAAATGATGTTGCAATTTTACATGTAACATGATCCACATTCCCGAGGAAATACCGGTTCCCGATATAGGTGTGGCTTCCAAGTCATGAGATAGCTTCCTTAGGTGGCTGTGTCACCTTCGTTTAAGCCTTGATTGGACAGTTCCAGCAAACGCGAGCAGTCATTCAGGTGGTCAACCCCAAACCCTTCTTCTCCACACTAAAACTAGTAGATGGTACAATATCAATAAGGAAGATAGAATTTGCTCACTTTGTAAAATGAATATAAGGGATAACTATCATTTATATTTCTGAGTCGTGAGTGTACCATTTAAAAAAATAAACAGCTTTCATCTTATTATGGTAGACTGGTACACTATAGTATCGCGGTAGTTAATTTATAATGGATCGTAATGGCGAAAGTTTACTAACCTCTTAAATATGTCACAACAAAATGTTTCTTTTTCTTTGTTCAACTTTTATGACATATCACTTGGGATTGTTTGATACTGATTTTCTTTAACAAGTTCGGCAACTGTTTTTTTAGGTGTGATATATGTGGATTACGTGGTTAACATCACTTCCTAATTTCGATTATGCATAATCAGTTTGCATACGACCAAGGTTGGGTCAAGGGGCATCGCCGAAACAAATGGCTTCTTTTCTAACCAATTTCGAATTTGGGTAGGGGTAATTCCACTTCAAAAACATTCAGGAAACTTTCATAAAAAAAATAACTTGTATACCTACGAGTAGCCGTGACATACCGCAACGAGTCTTGTATACGATCAAGCAATGAAATATCATGCTTAGATTTGCATAACTAAACAGTCGACAGTGGTGTATAGAGCCCGCAAGAGGTTTGAGTCATACTTTAAAGATCTAAGTATGACAAAAGATATGTCACTTTATCATGCTCCTATTAAATGTTGATTGCGTATATTCAGTGCCATTTTCAGTACTAAGACTCAGGTGTTTTATAACATTGGGAAGAAACATCTGGGTATATGTTGTGACAGCTATCATTGTTATTTATTTATTGTTTTTGCCATAATATTAAGTTTCATCTTGTTTAGTTTTATGTCTTGTCTGCACCCGGCCGTCACGTGTGCTCATCTGATGACACAGAATCATGTACTTTTCATCACATGCTATACCCATGTGGGAAAAATAGCGAGTTCATTCGCGAATATTTTAGAGAAATAATTTCATCACTGAATACATACTAAATTGTGTCATTGTCAGGATTTTCACTAAAATGTAGTGCATTTTGAAGGACAGAAAACAATAGCTTTAGCCAGTCCAGTTGTATTTAAATGGCATGCTTAATATCTGATGTCCCGTATCAAAACCTGAACATATCGTAACACTATACAATGTGTTTAAGCAAGTTGATCTTTGGAATGACTTTTTATAGTTATTTGTTTATGACGAACTGTTTACTTTCCTACTTGAATAAAAACACCACTTAAGAATGACTGGTTTGAAAGCAAAAAATCCTTATTTGCAATGGCTGTGAACATGAATTCATACTAAGTTGATAATATTCAGTTTGAGAGGTATATCTTTATAACATGTGTCAACAAAGAACCTATGAAAACTTTTTAGAAAGGAACGTATTGTTATTTGAAAAACATATGTATTTGTCTCTCCGATAAGAGATGGATACAATTGCTAACCTGTTTGAGGTGTAAGCAACATATCACCTGTAATACAAACACTTATAGTCGTGCCAAACTCCTACATATTAGCCATCCCTGTCTTTCAGTAGTCCGCGAGACGAATTGAACATGCATTTAGGGGATTTGTTGGTGATGTGCTTTCATTGCCAGAGCCAGTTGAAAAATGTTATTAAACTAAAACCCAAATACACGGCTATGTGGTTAACTGAAAGAAAGATAGTTCAAGCACATAAACATTTGCTAATCCTCCGTAGACTTTGCTCAATACATGACCAGAGAATTCTCGATTAATGATGCCCCCTGAAAACCTTTATAAGATACGAATGAATCAGTGGTTTCCACGAAAGTGTTGCTACAGTGAAGTATATGGCGACAAAGGCCACTTCATGACATATTTCTCGTTTGTATCAGCACTACAACATATTCGTTTGTGTCTTCTCATACCAAAAAAATACATCGTTCGTATCTTCTCATACAAAAAAACTACGACACATTTATCATTTATTCTTCTCATACATGTACCAAATATCTACGACGTATCCCTGGTATATATATTCATACGTAGGGTTTGCGACGTCATGTTGACGTTATACTTCCGTCATGTTAACGTCTTGCTATTGCCATGTCCCCCTCATGCTGTCATCATGCCCAGCACCAGGCTGTCGCCATGCCCTTATCACATAGTCGTTGTCCTTACGTCATGCCACCGTCAGGCAACCGTCCTTTTACCACCATGTTACCATCTACTTTAGGCATTATTTTGAAGTCCTTCACTTACCGACATGTCCGAGCAGACGGTTCGTGTGTCTGATCCGTACGTACCCGTGTGTCTTTATGCTTTCAAAACAACATTCAGAAGTTGATGAGTCACGGTTGAACAATTTACTAGCCATGGTAATTAGTTCGAAACTCGTGAACCCGAAGTGAGTCGGGTCAGAATAGACCCCCAACACTCTACTGCTATGGCGACTAAAGCAGGTAGGTAGGTCAGTAGTGTGGTTGATCGCATGTCTCTATATTCCGACAGTGTGGGACGCTGCTTGTAATACCCACACTGGCTTATTTGGGCCAAACTCGCTTTATTTTATTGACAGGAATAGTGATAGCGCAAGAATTCTGATATAGCAGGAATACTGATATAGCAGGAATATTGATATAGCAGGAATACTGCTGAAGGCTGTGTTTAGAGATAGAGCCGATTTCGTGAAACAATTATCTTTTGATTTTGATCTTTAAACAAATATGATGATTAACCACATTACTACATCCATTGACTCTCCACGCGTTAAACCATCGTCAGACTGCACAGACACGAAAACTTCTTCATGAGAAGTATAGACGATGGGGGTTGTGGCGGAACCCACCCGAACTCTATCAATGCTTCTATTGGGGTCTTTTTATGCGAATTACGCGATGTGATCCAATGATCGTCGTCTACTTAAGCTAACTTGTAAAGAAAAGTGATTCTGCAGCAACCCACCCTAAACCATTCCTGAACCCTATCAATGCTTCACCATTTATGTGAATTATATGATGACTATCCATGGATCTTCATGTATCAAGATGCATATAGCGGATACAATATATTCTTAATTTCAAACCAGATCTTTGGTTTTGGGATGGAATGCTTGGCCCGCTTGTTGTCTCCTCTATTCTTTAAACTCTTTTTGCTCATCTTCACTAATGCCGCTGGTCTCAGATGCTACATCCAGTGCCGAAAAAAACCCATAATATACACAATCATATTATACAAGAGTCTTGAATTGGCCGATCAACAATGTCTTATTAGATATATATTATATGGCATAAATATCTTAGTAGCAAAATGCTCACCCCATTAACTGCAACATTAGGTTCTGTGAATATAACTTCTTTCCTCTTGTACACATTGCCCTCGATACTGAGTTTATGAGAACCTTCTGTGCCTCCAAGATTGGAGATGTGGTGATGCGTACCAGGACCTGAAGAATCAACCATTATTAATAATATGGAGTGATACACTCAAATATCCAATATGAACAGGCTGATGTTTTACATGAAATACAGAAACTTTGAGCTCTGTAATAATGCTCCGCTTTCCCTTTTTACTGTAATTAGGAGAAAGATTCTGTTTTCCACTATTGTATTTTTCATCTTTGACTGGAATACATCTTAGTAGAGTTGAAAGACTTTTGAGTTGAAAATTATTCGTTGTACTAACCTATTCAAGATGGATGCACAACTCTTGATAACAAACTCTATCGGGGAATTTAACTCCATGCACTGTTGTGTTGGGTGTCACTTCTCTTCTTATAAATCCAAGTGTATTTGCCTATAGAATTTGTTCCACTGCTTAAAATCAGCACCACATTTGACTCATTTAGTGTGAGACCAGCTCCCAAAGGTTTTCATGATTGAGTAAGCATACTCTGTAATATCCATCAGATATAATGCAATGTTCTTTATCTAGTAATAAATTATTGATACCTCTTTCAGTACTTATATTTGTCCGACGTAGGTAATATGTTATATCAAAGAGAGCAACTTCAAGTTACCAAGCTGAGTTATCAATAGCATGAAGCAGTTGAATAGACTGGCCATTTGTTATTCCCGGAAGTGTTACATACATATTAAATATATAAAGATACTACATTATATCTATCGTTAGAAATTACAGATTCACAGAAACGAACGTCAAAACAGTACACGATTGGTTCTCCAATCCAATGCAGTTCTGGCAAAACCAGCTAAACGTTGCTATTTGGTATGCTTCATCAGTCTGTGGAGTATCTTTTAGTCACAATCTTTGTAAGTATGTTTTCTTCTTTCACGTGTACTATCATATTAGGCATATCCTTACAGAAAAAAGTGCACCAATACCAAGGGTCAAGCATGGAATGCATCAAATAATCCGTACAATTAGAGGGCATATGAACGTATTTATTGGGAATTGCTATTTCTACGAGTAACGTCTGCATGGAGGTAACAATGGTCTAGGTAATCCATACACACATGGCACACACTCTGTTAAAGAAGTCAGTGATGATTTAATGAAAAGAGGTCGACTTCTTCTGAGCTTTGCTCTCTTGCGTAACGAGTGGAGAGACGATCATATGAACTTTAAGGGCCGATGTTGCTTTCACCGTCCAAAAGGTTGAACAACCATAAGATGTCGAAATTCTTGGAAAAAAATCATTTTAAATAAATCAGAAGGTTTTACTCACCTTGTCAAGGCTTCGTTATTCTCTAATACTGTATTCCAAGGATGCCTGTAATGTAGAATTATCATAGGTTGACAAGATTTATCCGAGACCGTCTGAATATATCTTTGCATGTTGTGGTATGTCTTCAAAATTATCTTTATCTATGGCAGCCACTGTTCAGTCCGCACTGTCTGAAGAACCTTAGTAGTCTTTGCAGAAAGATTTGCTTGTGAGTTGTCATAGTCTACAAGACCCAATTCATTACAAATAATGTTGATGCAACCATGGCGCCCAGCTACTGTAGACAACACTAGGGGTTACCGAGTATGAGAATTCATAAAATCAATATCTGGAGAGCCACGCAGTCGCATTATTCTTTTACTATCTATTGTAAACTTGGAATAGTCACTACCAATAGGAGTAACATATTTTTTGTCTTCTTTTAAGACATCGTAATAATCAGTAACAACTGATTGCAAATTTTCCTCATTTACATTAATTCCTTGTCCCATGAAGCTGGTTTCATAAGTCCCTCCTTCGACTGTTATAGTATCAGTTAGGTTATCAAGATAAATATGATCCATTTTTGTATTAAACATAAGGAAACACACTTTCAATATAATCAATGTCTTTGCAATACGGACGCAAGTTAAATCCACAACGTAGACTTCAGGATCCATTAGGAGTCAACGCAATTCGCCAGGCTGTAACTATAACTAATAACCTGAGTACTATCATGATCAGAATCAAACACTTATGGTTCGCTTCTCGGTGCTCATGATGTATTAGAACTGCCTGACTATCATTAACAATTAATTTGTCTTGTACTGACGTTAAAAGGGAGCTCGTTCAAAACATAGGTTGTGCAATTGTAAAGAAAATTAACGGTAATGAGGTCTTTAGTATTGATGACAGCGATGTATACTTTTGTTACATGGATCTCTGGAGAACAGCCAAAGAACAAGAACACTTATCAACAGTATCAAAGTATTGGTAATAAAAAATCAATGAGACTGCGTGTAGGTTCTGCTAGTGGTGATAATACCACCGTAGAAGATGAAGCTGTTGCCAATGCAATAGGTAACCGACTCTATATTCGGCTTGACTTTGAAGGACAGGGCCGATGATTTCATCGTGGTAGCACTGTCCAATGAGATTTCCCTCTACCACTATCAAAGGGGTCCTCTGTCTTGCTGTAATCCCACCCCATACCATAATGCTGCCGCCCCCGAACCGATCTTCTTCCATGACACAATGATTGACCTAACGTTCACCTCGACGTGGGTACACTCGAATCCATCCATCGCTGTAGCGGAGGTGAAAACGAGAGTCGTCAGTGAATAGAACTTGTCCCCACTACATGGCCATCCAGCGTAGATGCTGTCTGCACCACTGTAGACGTGCTTCATTGTGGTTTCCTGTCCAAATGGGACGTCTGGTGGTCTTCTGCCAACAATCCCTGCACATCTGAGGCGATAACGTACGGTTTGTTAAGATATTCGTCAAGGGCCAGGGATGCTTCGTGCAGTCACTGTTGCTGGCTGGAATCGATTTCGTAGGTGTGTTGTTCGAATCCAGTTGTCTTATTGATTATTGGTTACGCATGGCCTGTCACTCTGACTGCATTCGTCTGTTGCCAACGTTGCCGTAAACACCAAATGGTGTTTCTGCGGACGTTAAATTGTCTTGCAAGATCACGTTGACTCGATCCTGCTTAAAGCTTTACCAATAGCCCACAGACGCTCATTTTCGGACAGGCGTGGCATTTCGTAATGTTGAATAATTGGGTAATTTTGTTGTTTTTCTGAGTGGTTGTTGTCAGCACGATGCTAAACAATGCATATATAATCTCTTTAACACACATGTTTTTATACCCATTCTTGGGTAGTGAAATGCATGGGGCTTGCATAAAAGCCAACTTTTGCATGGAATGCATCCTTTTGCGTTTTTGTGATTTGATTCCATACATGTACTATAATAAACTAGATTCGGCTATGGTACAACTATACACAGATGTAGCTAGTACGTTTCTTTCCATCCCACCAGAAAATCGCCTGTATCTATTCGAATCTCTCAAGAAAGACCCATTTGTTGGACATGCTTTAAGTGCAGTAGGCTGTGAGTTTTACCATAGATACGGAATGTCCTTAGCACCATTTACCGTCGCTATAATAACGTCTAAGTACTGTTAATTTAAACATAATGGCCCACCTAATAATAATGGAAGCAGAAACACCACAAGTGAATGCGGAACTGTCACAAGTGAATGCGGAAATGCCTCAAGTTGTGAGAGTGACTAAGAACCCCCAAAAAGTAGCAACGGGTAAAAGGGGGGCTTTAGCCAGGAAGGCAAAACTCTTACTATACATTGAAAAGAATTCAAATACTTTATACAGTAGTACACCAGCTGAACGGATTAAAATTTGGGCTCCCTATGCACTAGGAGTTGTTGTTATAGCAGCAGTATTGGACTGGTAAATCTAACGGTGAAGAGAAAACACCACCAGTTTAAAACGTAGTTCAGTTAGAGTTAAATCCTCATGTTATGCTAAAGAGAGAAAATGACTACTCCAGTAACAGATGGTAAAATGTTGGCATATCATTCAGCAGTTGTTAGTGGCTTAGCTATGGGCTACAATGGTTACTAAAGCACCACCATCCAAGCTAAATTTTGATGGTTATGATATTGGTATGATGATCCTAGATGTAGGCTTAGCAATGGCTATTAAAGATATGCTAATCAAACAAGGGCTTATCCCAGAAGACATAATGAAATAATTAAACATTTGAACATTTATGAGCAAAGTTCGAAAAGGCATCAATTGCAATTATGGTCTGTGGAGCTATTGTTAATGATCTAGCTTTTTCCAGGAGTATTTTTTTTAATGTTTTAATATGAGACAATCAAACGCAGGAGAAAATGAAGAGGAGCGGAAACGACACAAAAAGCTTTAGAACAATTCGAAATCGCCCAGTCACAATGGGCATAGGATTGATTTTATCAATGAAGAGCTTCATAGGCAAAATCATTAAATTCAAACGTTTTAGGATGATGAAACTGCCATGCATCAATAGTACCTTGTTTACGAAAAAGACTCTTTGACCCAATTGGCACAAAGCAAAAACTGTCTCGATTTTACTCACCGTCAGAGGGATAGAAAGGCCACAAGCTAACATTCATTGCGCTGGGCTTGACTGCCACTGCTCTCATCAGCTATGAGCTGGTGACACAGCTCAACTGATGTGCATTTAGACAGATGATTCTGGAGGTGTATTAAGAGCCATGATGGGCAGCGACACGTCTGACACACATTTTGACATATGATACCAGAAGTGTAAAGTTATCACAATGGCAAAGGGTACATCTAGATGTAAGTTCATACTCATGGGCCAATCCCCAAAATGTTGTCAGACTTGTATGAACGATTTTGTGGGATACATGCCATTGCAATAAGAAACGCTAACTATACATGTTCCGTTTGCGGGATTGGGGTCAAAGGTCATTATTGTTTATGCAAAGCACACGGATCTGACAAGATACAAAACCCGATTGTTTATGAGAGGAAGAAGTATTACCTCAATGAGAGAAATAGATTTGGGAGAATAAGAATCTAGGTACATGAATCAATTCCAATTAGAGATTTGCTTTGCATGTAATTATACATAACAACGGTTTATGTCAGAGAGCTGAAAGCTGAAAGTGGTTATTTTCAGATGAGAAAAGCTGAATTGATTACCTTACTCAGTTTGGATTTCAACAAACCCCCGACTGTTAGAGAACTCAAAGCTCAAGTGAGAAACCGTGGGCTGAGAGGTTATTCCCGAAAGAGAAAACCTGAATTGATTGCTTTACTTGATAATCAGCTATAATCATGCCGTGACGAGGTTGGAATAAGGATATTAATTCCAACATGGATTTGTAATGATGTTAAACCCATCGTATCGAGCAAATTTAATGAGGAATTACATGATTTAAATAGTATAAAATACCTGCTAACAGTTAAAATGTCTTTAAGTCAAAATAACACAAATGATAGAGTTAAATATACCAAACCTTATTTCAAGGGCAACCAAGAAGTTATAACCGAATCTGATTCTATAACTTCATCATTAGATGTATCAATTCAGCAGATACAAGAAACATTAGAGTGCTGGACTAATAGAGGTTCGGTTTGGGATGTGGATAGAACCAATACTTTATATTTAGACATAGCAAATTATATGCCTTTGAAATGTGGATCTTATATAGATTTACCCTCATGCTATAAGAAGAAAAAAGCCATAAATGATTTTTAAAATAATGATGATAACTGTTTAAGATGGACATTACGATCTGCCTCATTTCCTACAGATTCTAAAATTGCGAATAGACCTTCGAGCTATCCCCAAAACGACAGACACAACTTTGAAGGCATTGATGCACCTACACCAATTTCGCAAATTAATAAGGTGGAAAAGCAAAATAATTTAGCTATAAATGTTTTGGGGAATTCTAAAGGATCTGTTGTACACAAGATAAGGTCTGCTCCAGAAACATTCCAGGTATCAATTTATTTCTGATTGAAAAAGATGGAAAACATCATTATACATGGATAAAGAGTTTAAGCAGGCTATTAGGCAATCAATCAAACCATAAGGAAAAGAACTATTTCTGCAAAAGATGTGTGCATGGATACAGCAGACAAGATCTTTTAGAAGCGCATAAAGAAAACTGCAGATGTGTTGGGCAGACTGCTATCAGGATCGATATGCCTTAAGAGGTGAAAAATATATATTAAAATTTGATCATATTGTAATCAAATACCAGTAGCATTCATAATTTACATTGACTTTGAAGCACTTATAAAACGAATAGATAATTCTTAATTCTTTACACGATACGTTTTAGGTTTACATGTCACCATAAATTACAATTAGTTCTTGTAAGCCCAACGTAATTGACAAATACTCGAAAACACATGATTGTAAACTATTAATGTACGTTGAAATGAATATATATTGTAAATGCCACAATGATATATCAAGGATCAAGTAGAAGATATATCGATAGTAGTGCTTTGAGTTAATTCAACAGATCTATGTAAACAGCACTACTTTATCCTTTTTAACTAACACCGTCAAAGCTCAATTTTATCTTCTCCTGGCGGCCATTATACAACGGCCATCTTATACACAACCCATCGCTCACATCTACAGGTCTCTTCCTGTGGTACGGCAATAAGTAGAACCCTCTTTCTCAAATGTATCCTCCATGATATAACCTACTCTCATTAAGTACATGCTGCTCTTTCTCAGCATCACGGCTAACGAGCTTAGACAAAGAGACCCAACCATCATTAAGTAATTACGTTTAATGTCAACTTTTCAATGACAAGAACATTTTCCAGGATTATGTATTCTCTTAACACCATCGCAAAAGATCACGTAGAAGCCAATGGTCGTATAAATAAGAAGGAACAGATTGATCACAACCGGTACTCATATTTTCCAACAAAATCACATCTGATTTCCCTGTGACTACTTGTTAAACCTACCTACCTACCTACCTACCTACCTACCTGCCTGCCTGCCTGCCTGCCTGCCTGCCTGCCTGCCTGCTTGCCTGCCTGCTTGCCTGCCTGCTTACCTACCTACCTACCTACCTACCTACCTACCTACCTACCTACCTACCTACCTACCTACCTACCTACCTACCTACCTACCTACCTACCTACCTACCTACCTACCTACCTGCCTGCCTGCCTGCCTGCCTGCCTGCCTGCCTGCCTGCCTGCTTACCTACCTACCTACCACCTTGTGTGTCACCCAGTAATTGGAATGACGTCTCTAACCCTCTAGAATCTTCGCTGTATGAAATATCATTGTAGCATATTATATCGCATGTATTGTGTATTGTCCGTCATACATGATGTGACACAATAATAATATATTTTTTCTTAATTAACGGTAAAATAAAACAACAGATATGCGATGATGATATCCCTAAAATCTGTGCAGTCGGGATCAGAATTGAACTGAAGGGTTTGACACTATGATCAGATAAATTCATCTACCGTAAACAAACCATTTAAGCGACTTAGACTTAATATAAGTATGTAACTTACACCTCCAGCAAACACTGGATCCATTTTTATTATATTAACAAAGTGCAGAAAATTGAATTCATATTTTAATTATTATTATTTATTATTATTAAGTCGGCGTGAGAGTTCTGGAGACAGCTGGTGAGATAGTAGTCCTGCACCATAACTGTGGAATTTTTATTTTTAAGGTATTTGTTTGCTTGATTCCACAACAGAAGAGGAAAGGTTATTTCAAAGAAAAAATAGAAAAATTTAAAGACTAGGTCTAGTGATAGGGCCTGGGAATACGGGGTCTGGCGAGGTAGACTTGCCGCCAGTCTATGTAACCCAAATCTCCCCTGGGTTCACCCTAACTGGCATTTCTTTGTGGCTCCCTGAACACGGCACATAGGAGTTCATCAAGGCACCCCTATGACTTAAGACTCTGAGTTCCGCAGTCCCACCTATGTCAGCTATTAGTTGCAATGGCTTGTTGCACGTCACCTGAAGCAGACATACTATGGATTTCATTTTAGACAGCTGATAAATATGATGCAGTTCTATAGCTATGTGTGTTATCTGGGGAAACCTTGACCCGAAGACAATCTTGATCATGAGCGTGCGTAGTAGACGCTTCGTAAACAGGAGATAGGGAGTCGACTGATTGACAGAAAATGCGTACACCCGACACCCAATACCCTACACCCTGATACCCGATCACCCTTCTGTGTCATAGTCCCGGATATATGACTGGCTCCGTGTCCTGTCCGTGTCAAATTCTGATGATTCTTTATGCACTCAGCTTTGTCTAATCCTAATTCCCAAAAACTATCTCTTCCCTCACGTATCTACTACCCACCCCTTCTCCAATTGCCCCTCTTTCTCTGTCCACTATTACATTCCCTATCCCCGACTGAAACTGTCACCGTGTCTTCCTCTTACCTCACTTTATTTCTTCCCCTTGCGAATATATTATATTTATTCTCTTCTCTCCTCTCTCGTCCTTCCATCTGTATAACTGTCATGTATTTTCTCTTCTGTCCATCCAAATTCTTAAATGATCTCTTCATGCTATCTTCTTTCTTCCTGTACAACTTATAACATGAGGACAACAAACTAAGCAGTCAATACAGGGGAAATAGGTTGAAATGGTTTAAGGAAGATCCTGTAACTGGCGAACATCAAACTGAACAGTATATACAGGGGATAAAGGGTGATACGTTTTAAGTAAGATGCTATAACAATGAGAACATCACACACACACACACACACACACACACACACACACACACACACACACACACACACACACACACACACACACACACACACACACACACACACACACAGTGACGTGGTTTAAGCAAGATGCTATACCATGCGAACTTCAAACACACCAGTATATGGAGGGGAAATAGGGTATTATGGTTGAAGAAAAATGCTGTACCATGCGAACATCAAACACACCAGTATATACAGGGGAAATGGAGTGATATGATTATGGTAGGAACCATAAGTTAGGATAGCATGGATCGGAAACAATGTCTGGTTCATGAATATTATTTTTTAAATACCATCAGCATATCAATAGTTATAGATTGAATTTTGTGTTGGGAGGGGAGAGGGGGCGCATGTTATACACCATGCCCAGAGAGGATGTGAATTTGAGGGATAAGTCAAAATGTAATATTTCGAGTTCCCGATTTCTCCATTAACGGCACTCGATAGGGGCATCGACGTATTATTTACATCTGTATAAATGCATTCAAAACCGATAGAAATGTTTATTTCTCTTCCTGCTATCAGTTAAACTTGGTTTATTGGTAAAGAAGCATTGACCCACTGATGAAACATGTGTTTAGTTCGTGAGGTCAGACTATTAAGGTAGCCGCCGACAAAGTACGTGTCTGCCCCCTGTTGTGAGTACTTCCCGGTTGTCTCACACGCTTTGTACTCACACAAAATAAAGCGTAGTTGACAGCATATGCGGGTGACAATGATGGTAGGGTAACCAATCAGATCCTTGCACATACTCTTCCACTCCGTTGGGGAAGGCCCACGATCACCGGGCATGTTTCCAAGCCCCTCCCTCCTATATATATCAGTAGTCCCAAATATATATGCAGTCACTTTCGTTAACACATTGACTTTTAAGCACACCTCACAGTCTCACATGTAGCCTTTTTTCATATATTAGTGGTATCAAATATATACATGAAATACCATCTCTATCGAGTTCACACAAGTCTTATGGATGGCTGTGTCGACATCATACAACATGGCACTCTTCCCATTTAGGCATTTAGCAGGTAAGAAGTGGTATGCACATCAGGTTTATGTTTAAAACTTCCATGTTGATGTTTTAGTATGAGACTGATAGGAATAGTAGTAATTTGAAGTTGCAGTCTGTAAAAGTGCATAGGATGTCGACAAGGATCTTCAGTGCTTTGTATTGTAGATCTTACTCATTCAAGGGTAATCGCTGATGACTGATGCCGATGAGTGAGTGAGTGAGTTGGATTTAACGCCGCTTTTAAGATTATTCCGGGTATATCACGGCGTATCAGCTTAATGTGTGAGGAAAGCCCGAAGTGTTGCAGGTCTCGGATGCTTATCACTTCGGTGAAACCCACGAGCACGGGTATGGTGCTGCAAACCTAGAAACATTATCATGGTTAACCGGGATTCGAACCCGAATAGGTTCATAGGTTTCTGGTGTGCCCAAAAGACGCAATTCTGCACGGCGAATCGCGGCGCCTTAGGTGACTGGGCCATTATGTTGGGAGACGAAGTGAAGGATACTACTTAATGGTACATCACATATTCATAGTTCTTGGTTCTCAGGTTGTCATGACGTGTGTATATGGATGGATTTAACAGTCCGTGCCATTTCAATGATGATGGTCGCTATACATGGTAATTCATTTCTGTCACATTATACCTGTGGACGTTGGAGCTACCTTTGTTGATGTTTATGAATTTGTATTGTTCTATATACGACTGACATTATTACATTTTCACTCATATTCAATTCTTATTAAAGGGGTTTTCGAAGTAGTATTGTTCTATAATAAAATTATTACTTACTGTATTGTATGAATGGCGGGTGCTACCATTAGGGCAGGACATGCTTGCCATTTTCGAAAACACAGGTGTCATCACTCATTTTTAGCTTTATTGCCCTCTACGCCCTCTACGCCCTCTACGCCCTCTACGCCCTCTACGCCCAATGGAGTCTGTTTCTGAAGGCACATACATAGGGATTCTACATTTGATTTCACTTCCTATTTTTTCATGTATGCATTACTAGTAATAACAACAAAGACAATTATAACAAAATTACAGATTTAAACCCATGAAAAATCACTACCGTATGAGAAATCTCGGTAACATTGTTGTTTTCAAGAAAATAGTTTGGTTTCTTAAATTTAACATTACCTTGTCCTGAAAAATGAAATTTGATGATAAAAAAACAAAGCAGGTGTCAATAAAACCGATCGCCCGTACGCATCACGGCAACAGCCATGGTAACCCGATGCACGTGAGTCCATGCACATTGAAATGCACATGCGTTCCCCCATTTCTTGCCCTATAAAAATACACCCGGATCGGATAACATTCACACGTTATTGAATTGCTACCACATGCCAAGATTGACAAGAAACAAGCGAGACCAAGCCCTTGGACGATTGCAAGCTGAACAATTCGCCGGGCAAGTAGCCAATGCATTTCAAGTCCACGTAAGGAACATATAAAGGCTCCAGCAACGGTACCAGACCACTAACACTACAGATGACCGACCACGTAGTGGAAGACCAAGGGTCACCACCCGACGTCAAGATCGTCAGATTGTGCGACATCATCTTCAAGATCGCCTTGTTACTGCTACGGAAACTGCTCCACAGACAATGGGGACACACAATCGACACATTAGTGCGGACACCGTGCGTCGACGATTGACGACTCCTCCACTGTCACAGGCCACACCGAGGACCCATTCTGACACCACGTTATCGCCGTGACCGTCTTCGGTGGGCAACACAGCACCAGCATTGTCGCCACCAGCAACAACAGATGGCAGAGGGAGAGAGAGGGTCTGACGTGTGATGCCATTTTCTCAGAGACTGGTGTTGTGTTTCACTTTAAGGACATTTGACACTTTAATTTCAACCTTGATTATCAGTTTGGCCAAGTTTCATCTTTTTAATATATCTCAAAGTATGTTAACAGTGTTTGTACAAATAAGGTTTCTCATATATCTATCCATGGTGACGTTTCATTTGCGGTTCAGTATATATAGTACTGCCTTTTTATGAACATCCGGCTTAACACAGATTTATATCGATCATGTCAATAACTGATAAACATATCCCTAAAAAACTATCAGTGTTCATTTATCATGCTATGTTAGAGAATAACCTGTTTATCATATCAGCAACCACTCCAGGAAACAGAATTGTACTATGAGCCTGTGGCTTCTCAGTATGCAATAAAACTTATCCTACTACTGTAAAGGTTTCAGAAGCGAAGTCACACCAGGAACGATATAGCGTGTCACATTATGTCTAGACGAGTGATGTCGTGTGAACACTTTAGGATTGCAGTAGCGATATAGCGTGATCACATTAGGATTTCAGTAGCGATGTAGCGTGATCACGTTAGGATTTCAGTAGCGATGTAGCTTCATTTCAGGAATCAGTACTGATGCAGAATGAGCTACATAATAATTTCCGCAGCACTGTAAAGTGAGTCACATCATGATTTCAGTACTGGTGCAGCGAGAGTTAGATTAGGTTTTCTGAAGCGATGTGAGTAAACCAAATCAGGATTTCGATAGCGATGCTTTTCGTCACATCAGGATTTCAGTAGCGATGTAGCGTGTGTAACATCGTGATTTCACATTGTGATTTCACTCGATTTGGCGTTGAGTAGCTGTGTAACGATGTACAGGATTTCAGTACTGACGTAGCGTCTGTCATATTTGGATTTACGTAGCCGTGTAGGTTAAGCACTTGATTCATTTGCATAATCTGTTTTCTTCCTGTGTTTGACAAGGCTGTTTATTATCAGACTTTACAAGGATCATATCGACGCACGATACCTGCCCAACATCGACCTGACAGCAGACAATGCCAGACACGTTCTTCCACTTGATAATACAAGACATATCACGTCAATATTTTTTACTCCAGTAAATTGTTTAAAGCTGTCCTGTGTTCCAGGACTTGTAGCGTGAGCACATTAGGATTTCGATAGCGATGCAGTGTGTCACATTATGATTTCAGGAGCGGTGTAGCTTGTGTAACATCATGATGACACCAGATGTTTAAAACATTTAAACAACAATTTAAAAAAAATCTTTTAAGGTCGGGTATCTGTAAATAAAGTAAAGGCAAAAAAGAAAAGCAATGCAACAATCTGCTATATACGCTACATATCATGTGTGTTACGGCAGTTTTGTGTGAGTGGTGGGTTCTACCGGTAGGGCCATCACTGATTTTCAGTGATCCATTTATGTTATTTTCATCATTTGACTTTAATTCCCAGTGGAGGCTGTTTTGTCAGATTATCGAAATTGCCGTTCTCTGGCTTTGCCATTTTGTTCCTGAGGAAATAACGAGTTTTGGATAACCTGAACCTCAGTGGATACCTCACACGTCACAAATAGCAATTACTCTGTCAATCGGATATTATCAATCATAGAATGGGGTGATTGGGGTGAGTGTATGTAAAGTATATTTTGTATAAGGGTATCAGAATTATGCTTTAATTCTACCATGTAATGACACCTATGTTTTATTTGCAGGTGTTCAGAGACTGTTTCCTCATAGACGGAAAGTTCCCCTGCTGCTTGTTGTTGCTGCTGTGTTTTTGCTGCAACCACGTCTTACAGCTGCACACGCCCAAACAGGTGGGAATTCTTGACAAGGCCTCAACGCATATGTCATGTCGCAGAATGTCTCATGTCATATCAAGGATAAACATATGCTATAAAATCGAATTATATGACACAGTTGTACCTCATGTCATATATAACGCATATGTATAATGCATATGAATAACGCATATACATGTTTCGTCGCGGTTAAAATATACGGAGAAATAAACTAAGGGGCAAAAGAAAGTATAGGTTGGCAATTTCTAATTTTCCTAAAAACAGCGATAACTAGTGGAAAGTGGGTATTGGGAATATGACTGCCCAGGAACAGGTACCAAAAACACCTCGCCCGAACGCGCCACCTTTGACGGCGCTCGTGCGGTGACAAAATAAAATGGTGAAACAGATTTCCGCCTAGGGCATAAAATGCACGTGCATGTTAGCTGTATAAATGCGTTCGTCTGCAGGGTATAACCACACGTGATGAAAGCACACAAAAGAAATGCCTCGACTGTCACAGGAGCAGAGAGAGAGAGAGAGAGAGAGAGAGAGAGAGAGAGAGAGAGAGAGAGAGAGATATGTAAGGCCGAAATGGGGGCAACACAGGTCCAAATTGCCAGAAGGTTTGGTTGTACACCATTGACAGTAGCCAGGCTGATTCAACGGTACAGGCAGACAGGGAGGACACAGAACAGGCCTAGAACCGGACGACCCCGAGTGACAACACCACTGGAAGACTGTCAGATACGGCTCATTCACCTGCGAAACAGTTTCATAACGGCGACGGCGACGGCAACAGCGTTGGGACATCCCATTAGCCAACGTACAGTACTACGACGACTTCGTGCTGCTGGAATCCGAGCGTATCGTCCTTTCCGAGGAATGGTACTGACTGCTGAACATCGACGCCTGAGACTTCGATGGGCGAGGCAAGTTCGACGCTGGAAAGTCAGAAATTGGCGTCGAGTGCTGTTTACTGATGAAAGTCGGTTTAACTTTTTTCGAAATGACGGCAGAGAACGTTTTTATCGACGCAGAGGAGACCAAGTGTTGCAGACAGTTGTGCTTCCGTTCTTACAAAACCAACATCAGGGGACATTGTTTCAACACGACAATGCCAGGCCCCATACTGCAAGAATGACTCGGAAAAACCAGCAGAACGTTGACGTTTTGCCCAGGCCTGCCCACTAACCCGATATAAATCCTATTGAACATCTCTGGGACCATCTTGACAGACAGATTAGAGCACTCCATCAGCCTCCCGTCAACAGACAAAAATTGCAGGAGGTCCTGAGAGACGAGTGGCAACGAATTCCAGTCCACGTCATCAGAAGCCTGACGTCATCGATGAGGCGGCGTATCACAGCATGCATTGAGGCAGCTGGAGGTCATACACTCTGTTGAAGGCAACTGTGTCGACAATGAACTTGTAGTGTGTCTGACAATTTTTTGGTGACATTTCAAACCACTTTGGAAAACGAAATTTCTTACCCCACCATTGTTTACCTTTAGGTTACATTACCTGTGATTGCACAAATTCATTCAAACTGTGGTTGATCAATCATTTGTTACCCCTCCCTAGATTATATTATAATTCACAACAAAACCTCTTCTTGTTATTTTTTTATCGATCATGGAACTCGACCTATACTTTCTTTTTCCTTCCAGTTTGCATAAATTGCAAGTAATTCCGTGGCATTTGATAGGCTAACCAAGCAATACTGTTTTAGGTGAAAAATGTCAGGCTGCGCCCACTAACAGACTACTGTTTCGTGATTGGATGATAACTGAATGGGGCGGGCTTCAGGTGCATTATGGTGCAGAAATATGTCACTGATTTTGCCCTGTTGTCTAGAGTTAGTTTTGTATCGATGACTAAACTAAGCAGTTTGTGAAGTTATTATTATTGGCGTATGTATCTATAACAACTGACTTCGATATCTGTTTTGCGCTTATGGAGTTAAAAACGTAGAGATCCTTGTGCACAGTTTGCGTAGATTCACAAATATTCAAATCAATTCGTAAATACATATCCAGTCCACTTCCACTGGAGCGGGATTCATATACCTATACTGCTACTACAGGTGGCATTTTTTATGCCAAAATGATGATGCGATTCAATGATAGTCATGAGTTGTATCAAACGAAACATCAATATTAATTAATAATGGATAAGTCCACGAGGATATTGGAAAGGTGTAGGAGCAATAAAACAATTAGCCACCGCGGCTAAGGTATCTAAAGATGTGGCCAAGGATTCGTTAAAGAAACAAGCGATGTGGCAAATATATTTACCAGCACCGCGTTATATACCGAGGAAAAAGTTTGATATTTTTACAACGAATGATGTCAAAATCAGGCGTGGTGAATGAGAGGCCCACCGCAGTCAAGCCATCGTCGAAACATTAGCGGAACGTTTGTTTGGCTATCAGTATGGGATCGAAATGAAATCGGAACGATTGAGATCAACCGAATTGGTGACACGTTTATCAGCTGTTGTATCAGCGCTGAATAATGAAGTGACCAGATTAATAGGGAAGAAACCATCCGATGCGATTAAAATGAAATCCGTGACTTCCGAATCTTCAGCACCGAGGAGAGGCAAAGAACGAAAACTTCCAGATAGAGTAAGGGTAAGATATTTATACCAGCCCGGTGAACTCGAAGGAGGCCTACATCGTGCAACCGATCCCATATGGTCCCTTAAGACGTATAACATTAGTCGATTGGTTATGAAAGAAGGAGAGCCTATTCTTTATTATCTTCAAGATGGACCGGGTAGGGCATTTGTACAAGAAGAGTTGTTCATAGTTCCCGACGGTACGGTATTACCACCATAACCATAAGCATAGGTAGTTACACCATCATTATCAATCCATCTCTTTGTATCTAAGGGGGATAATGATGTCTTGTTCATTCTTAATCCATATATCCTATGATTGTAACTTCTTAAAGAGTTAATCTCGTGTTTGAACGTTCTACCGTTGAATAATGATTCTTAATACTGTTCGTGTTTAATATGCTTTTTTACAAAAAACTTCTTAACGCCCTTAGCTTTTCTTATCTCCCCATTATCGGACTTTTTTATAGAATACATCTTAGGTCTTAATCCGACATACTCCGCTATAGGAGTCCCAGCACATTCATCCTTCAGCTTACCTAACACCTTTTTATTTACTACGCTGTGCAGTGGATTATCTTTAGGGTAATCGCTCGTGTCGTACATATCTATTTTTTCTGCCATATCTTTATACACATCCTCGGTTTGTATTTCCATCAACAAAGAATCTGTGTCGGTATATAACACCTCGCATCTATCGCCGTAATGCTTCTTAAGTTCGTTGTAATAAAAGTCATACATTAAGTGTTTTGACAAGTCGAGAATACTCATACCGACGTACACCGGTCTGTTGAATTTTATATTACTCTTCTGCATATGCAACGCGGCTAAGTCGTTATCTAATATCTTGCTTCTGTTAAAAGCCGGACTGGCTATAAGTTTCCTGAGTCTTTCTTCCTCATTAGATCTGACTAATTTAACATCAACATGCTTCCTTAGATTCTCCATAGTTTTACCAAATACTGAGTTATTCATGAGCTTATACAGATTCTTTTCGAAATCGCTGGTAGCTATCTTTCTTAAACCTTATATAGGGCTCCATCCAAGGGCTTTGATCGAACTTTAGAACTCTGTGTATTTTCTTAAGTTTTATACCTAACGATAGATACAACTGGAGATTTCTGTAGTGAACTATATATTTTGTCTTATCCATCAAATTTGGTACGAGTTTTTCTACGTTAGCTAACCTACTATAACCCATCAAGGAGCGTTGATATTCCGACATCCAATCTTTATTAACCATTAATCTTTCGGGAGCTAGTGGATAACTGTTATGATCTTTATGCAACGAACTTGGATATTCCAAGTCAACTTCTAGTATGTACCCTTTATTTGCATCATTCACATTGATATTATTGATATCATTCACTTCGACCCACTCAAAACCACCCGTGGGTAAAGGTTGACTCATAGCCCATCCGTACAAATTGTTAGCGTCGAGATATAATATGTGCGTGTCGGGTTTACTCGGATCGTATCCTTCCACTAATTTATTATTAGCCTTAGAATACCTTTTCGCTGCCATCGATATACCACCTCTTAATCCTTTCTCAATAAACAAGTGCATATCGTAATCTGTGAGTAGTTTTAGTTCTATGCCGGTCTTCTTCAACAATGCATCCCACGATAGTCCGGGACTGGAATAGTACCATGCCGGGTCCAAGCCGTATTGTTTTAAACATGTCTTTCTAAATATCTCGAATATATCGGCGAGTAACAGTACATCGGTTTTTAAGTACAGATCGTGATAATCGCCTAAATTCTTACAACCTAATTTATCCCAGACCCTCAGAGTGTGTTCATAATCGGCATCTGTTATTTTAGATTCTGTTAAGTTACTATAGAATGATTCAAGGGGTGGTAATTCAGTTTCTTCGAATCTAGACCAATCATCCATATGTTTGTAAGGATATACAACTTTTCTCAGCAACAAATGACGAGTTATCTTATCGATATATTCATTTGTTATCGCAAAGTCATCGGGATTGTTCGCATTAGCTAAATTGTCCAGGGAAGATAACAGAAACTCTACAGAGTCTATGAATCTAAGCCCATTACTTTGCTTTATTCTAGATTTCCCATCCTTGTCCCTATAATGTATAGGTTTAGTCAACAAGAACAATATGTATTTTTCCATATTATTAGGAATGCACGTTAAACCGCCGTCGGTCTTTGAGATAGCTTGCATAATGAGATGTGAATCGTATCCCCTAAGGTTATGAAACACAACGGGGATGGGTATTGTTTGAGAATTCATTTTTAGTTTTAAGTTACACTCGTTATGAGCGGCCCCCCGATAATTACCCGTGACGTGGCAATGATCTCTTACGGAATCCCCATCCAGGGGTTTATTACAAACGTGACAACTCGTTGACTTCTTATGGGCCCTCCAATCATCCCTCCTCATACACAT